TGTATGAGTTCAAACTTGGTAAATTGCATGGCTTTCAAGTAAAATGTCATTTTTGGCATGTTTCAATCATTTCTTGCATGGCTTTAATACATAGTGCAATTTGTTAACTAACCTATATTTTCTACACTTTTCTATAAGTGTAGGGCCGGGTTGTTAAGGTGTGTCCCATTCATGTGCAAAAGCTTGGATCCACTATTCTCCTAGCTAGTGGTGAGTCCTCATGGATCCGAGGACGAGTGATAGCATGTTGTTCCATTTCTTTCACTGTTGTATTAGACTTTTGGATTTCCATTGTTGAGGGTTGTGACACTATTTTTGAGACTTCCATTGTATTAGATGGCTAAATGAGACGATGTCTAGACTTCTTTTTTGCTTTTATGAAACGTTTTTTAAAGACTTAAAAATGTGTTTTACTCTTCATAGTTATTTACTTAAGTTATGATATGATATGTGGCTTACATGGTGCCTTTCGGGGTCCTATATCCCATGTTACGTCTATGGGGTGCCCTTGGGTCGTCACATGATGATTGAAAGTTGGTTTTTAACCTTGAAAGGTAAATTATGGAATTATGCATGTCCTTATGAAATCTATGCAAATGTTTTAAGGATGCTTTGAGAGTGAAGTATCAATGATGATGTTGTTGATGTTTTATTGAAAGATTGTCTCATATAGAGATGAAAGCATGATTGTGAAATGTTTTCTCACACAAAAGTATTCTGAGGTTGAAATATCTTCTCACCAAATTGAATCAAATAATTAAGATCTATCTGAATGACTTAGATTGGACTGGTTATTTAATGATACCTTTCCATTAATTATGACTTAGCTTTGATTAGCAAGATAACGTGCCTTTCCATGGAAAATAAGAATAAGTAAGAAATGACTATTCTGTGGGATTTATGCTTAACACCGAGAGGATATTGAGATGGAAGCTCTCCTGTTAGTAGAGTTTGGGTTTCTAGAAGTAATCTCTTTATCCCTTTTCTAGGTTCCCCTATAGGATGATTGTTGAGATATACATTAGCTAGTGAATCCACCTAAGCTAGAAGTTTATGGTCCTTACCTTGGAAAAAAGGAAAACCATTTTCGGTGTGGGAGACACTGAGGGATCATGTTATACTCACATGGTCTCTAGGTAGGTGAAGGAAAATTCTCCCAATAATAATGAACTAAGGTTACTGCAAGAAGCATCTCATTTGTGTTCAAAGATGTCAAATGATGTTCGCTTGCATTGACCATGTTTTATGACATCTGTTTCTAAGCCTTTTGTATCATGTTTTAGCATGGTCAATTGCATGTCATAAAATTTACCTTTAATCATGATTTAAATGTTTTATGCATAGGTATCATACTCTGTACATTGTTTGGTACTAACACATACTCTTGCATACATTTCCCTAAATGTAGGGCCCGACAGTGAGGTTTCTCAATTTTGTGGCTAGTGGTTGATACAAGGTTCCCAAGATTTGGTGAGTCCAAACTTTCATTGTTTCAGTTTCTTTCTTGTATTTCACTTTTGGACATGATGTATAGGCTAGGCCCGATTTCATTCGATTGTATTAGATAGCTATTGAGACAAAGTGTTTTAGACTTCCAATTTTCTTTTATAAAACTATTGGACATGTAATGTTGTATTTACTTCCTTGTTCTATTTCTTATGTTATGAATGCTAAGTGGCTTGCATGGGGTCCCTTGGGGTCCGCTATGCCATGTTGCATCGGGGTACCCCTGGGTCGTGACAAACTTGGTAATTAGAGCATAAGGTTTAGAATGGTCCTAGGATGTCATCGAGTAGAATCTTTTTCACGAGTGTGAAGAGTGCCACATTTATGAAAGAGAGGCTACAAGATGATTAGGAACTCCACTTCTTTCATTACTCTAAAGTCGTGCGATAGAGTTTAACTCTATAACGTCTCTCTCCTAATCCGTATCTTATGCACTATAGGATATGGTTAAATGATCTTATGCTAGAAGGAAAGTGAGGGAGAATGCGGAACAAGAAGCTCCTGTGCAAGCTCCTCGAGTTCCAGTCGATCCTTTGGCCGAGCAAGTGACTTATGAGGAGTTTAGGGCTGTTTTTCAAGTGTTGGCTCAAGTAGTAATAGCCCAAGCAAATAGCGAGGTTGCAGTTCCCGTGAACCCAAATGTGGGTACGGAAACATCTAGAGTGAGGGACTTCACTAGGATGAATCCTCTGGACTTTCATGGGTCTATGGTAAAGGAAGATCCTCAAGAGTTTTGTAAGATCTCAGAATCTAGCAGGTTGAACTAGTGAGTTCTGGAGCCTTTTGTAAGAGGTTTGAAGTGTCGTATGAGGATTAGAGGTTGTAAAAATGTTTCCCATAGTTAGAATAGGGGTTTAAGGGTTAGGGAGTCAAGGTACGATCCCCCAAGGGGTCCTTGGGAAGAACCTTTAAGACTGCCCAAAACTTCCAAAATTGGCAGCACCTGCGATTGGCCACCTACGTCCAATAAGTTGACCCACGCCCCGTAGGTGGGTGTCGTAGGTCAAGGCCTGAATCAGGCCTGCAAAGATGAGCCTCAGGTACAATCCATGAAGGTGCAGCACAAGGCGTCACCCCACCTATGGTCCGTAGGTGGGGATCCGTAGGTCTTCACAGTTTTTGGAGTTTTAGTTTTAGGTGAGCGGTTCAGGGAATTAACTAAGTAATTAGTTAGGTCTTAGGGAGGTAAGTTAATTATTTAAATAATAACCTATAAATACCTAATAGTACCCTAAACTAGGTCATTAGCTAATTAATCTTAGAACCCCTAAATTACTCTCACGAAATTCCCTCTCTAGAATTGAAGAAGAAGAAGAAGAGAATAGAAGAGGGAAGTGTTTCTCCATTGATTCAAGATTTCTTTAGGGCTTTGATTCAAGGAAAACTTCTTGAGTAACTATAGTTCATAATTCATATTCTTGTTCATACTATCATAGTGGAATTAGCCTTAACTAATGATCTTAGGCATATTTATATGCCTAGAAATATAATAATTCCCATATTTAAGCTAAGTTTAAATTCAATATGTGTTTGTTTATAGTCTTATCGAGTCTTTTGGTCATTTATGAGCTAATCAATATAACTAGTTGTGTAGGTGATCTTAATTGGAGAAACGAGCACTGAAATGGGCATCGGAAATCACAAAGGGACAAAAGAGTAAAGCACAAGAAAAAGACCAAGTTATATCAATGTCCTCTCCGCGTCGCGGAAAGGAAATGTTGATTTTATGTGAGAGACAGAATTGAACCAGAGTGGTCCGCGTTCTCTCCGCATCATGGAGAGGGATTTAATTTTCTTTGTGAAAGTCAGTTATGAGGCAGAGTGATCCATGTCAAGGCCGCGTCGCGGAGAAGAGACAAATTCACATAATTATATCTAAAATACCCTCCGCGTCGCACCATCAGTTGCTAGATTTGGCCGTTTCGAGTTTAGTATAAATAGATTAATATTTTATTTTGTTAATTATTCTTTTTCTAGGTTTTGAAGAACAACGACTTGAGAGAACATTTTCACCACTTTTAGGGTTCTATCCTTAACTCTTTTTCTTTTCGATCTCTCTATGTTAATTGAACATTGCTTGATCGAATCGTGGATTATTAGTAGCTAAATACCCTAGTTGTAGGGATGTGGCTACATGATAATTATAATCGATTAATTTTTCATGGGATTGTTGTCAATTATCATATGAATCTTTCTTATGTTCTTGCTTTCCGTATTTCATGACTAATCAACAATGAAATAAATATATTGTCCAAATTGAACTCGGGAGAGGAATAAGAGGATAGACCATGGGACATAACAAACATGATTAATTCTTAATAACTAGGGTTAAATTGTATCTAGGATAGGGATATACCTAGAAACCATGATTGGGTCACTATTCAAGAAGAAAGCGTAATGCTTCGTACTTCATCCATCATATCCCCGCTCAATGATGTAGTTAGGGTATTACGTATCATAGGCGATTAGAGGTGGGGAGACCATGATCATACATTTAACCATGTGATTCATTGATTCAATAGTTGATATAAATCCATCTAAATGATATTTATTGCAGGAATCCTGATAAAAGATGTAGCCTTTGACTTTACCCAATAATTGTTTTTTTTAACCCGTGAAATTGAATCGCTTTTTGTTACATTTTGTTACAATCCTAGAATTAGAAATTAAATCACTTTTGAAATCTTGATAACACTTGTGATTTGCTGAAAGTTAGAGAAATTGAATGATTCTAAGCGTAAGTCCATGTGGGTATGATACCCGGCTCTTTATAAGAGCAACTTTAATACTTGAACGACCACGTGCATTTGCCTGTTCAATTTGGACGCAACAAGTTTATGGCGCCGCGGCCGAGGACTTTAGAATTAGGAATTATTTGATTTTTCAGATTTATAAGATTAAAAGCAAGTGCTGACAACTTTATCTGAGCAATTCATTGTTGCAGGTTGTTCTGAAATTTCAAGCTGGATGACAATCAAGGATTGGTATCACCGCTAGCTAAATCGAAAAGGTTTGTTCCCTACCGGAGAAGGCAAAGACGACTTACGTACCTAGTCCCTCTTGTTGCTAGTGAACTAACTTCTCCAGTAACAAGAGTTAAGTTAGAGGAACCTGAAATAATAATAGTTGAGTTGAAGGTAAGAGATGTGGTAATCCCACGTCCCACCAATGTGACATCATGCATTCAGAAGCCTGAAGCTGGTGGAAGGTTTGAATTGAAGCAGAGTATGGTGCAACTATTGCAGACTAATGGGCAGTTCACTGGTCAGTCACACGAGGATCCGACAGTTCACATTCAGAATTACCTCGAGATCAGTGATACTTACACTCTAGTTGGAGTAAATGCAGATTATGTGAGGCTCACTTTATTCCTGTTTTCACTGCTTGAGGAAGAAAAAAGATGGTTAAACTCAAAGCCCGCGAACACAATTACCACTTGGAATGATCTAGCACAAAAATTCCTCATCCGATTTTTTCCATCTGGAAATATAGCTAAGATGAGGAGTGACATTTTGAGCTTTAGACATAAAGGGGGAGAGAACTTATATCATGCTTGGGACAGGTTTAAATCGATGTTAATGTGCTGCCCACATCATCATCAGTCTAATGAGGTGTTAGTCCATACCTTCATTGAGGTATTGGAGCCTAACACAAAAATTCAACTTGATTCAGCTGCAAGTGGCCAGGCTTTGGAAAAGACATATACTAAGCTATTCACCTTGATGAACCGGATCTCGCAGGGCAACCTCAAATTGAACGGAGGAGGGGTGAAACCTCTGACTTCGAAAACTACAGGTATGTTAGAGGTAGATGTTGTGACTACCTTAACTGCACAGATTGAGCCTTAACACCCACTTCAGCAATCTAACATTGGGACAACAACTCGCATAAGTAAATGCAGTTCAACAACCACCATCTTGGTGTGAGATATGCGGAGGTGGTGATCATTGTGCAGAGGTATGTGGTGTGAACCCGAATTCTGTTAATTTTGTAGGCAATGCCCAACGAGGAAGAGTCTCATAAAATTATGGAAACTCTTACAACCCGAGTTGCCGCAACCACCCAAACTTTTTTTTGGGTGGAAATCAAAATCAGGGTCAAGGCTAGAATCAATATAGACCCAGAGGAAATGCATAGGGGTACCAACTACAGGCCCAATGGAAGCAGCCTAATAAGCAGTATGGTAACATGAGCATGGAGGAGATGCTGAAAAAGATCATGGTTGATCAAGCCCAATTAGTTGCTGATGTGAGAAATAATTAGTGGGCTATACATAATCTGCAGAAGCAATTCAGGCAGTTTGCTAGTTCCCAGAACTTACAACTGCAAAGAGGTTTCCCGGGTAACACTGATCCAAATCCAAAGCAGGTAAACGCGGTAGGTACTCGTAGTGGTTTGCAATTAGAGGAGCTAGATCCTAAGAAAGGGAACACTGAAACTGTGAATAAAGAAGGAGAACCCAAGGAGGGCGAAGTTGCTGCACAAGAAGAAAAAGTGCAACCAATAGTGAAACCACCTCCTCCATTTCCTCAAAAGTTCAAGAAACAGAAGGAGGAGGAATGTATTGGTAAGTTTCTCTTTCTTTTGAAACAAGTTCTCATTAACCTTCCATTGGTAGATGATTTGCAGGGTATACCCAAGTATAGGAAATATGTGAAGGAGATTGTGGAGAATAAAAGGAGGTTGACTGAGTATGAAACTGTTGCACATACTGAAGAGTGCATCTCCGGGATCCAAAATAAGTTGCCCATTAAATTGAAAGATTCAGGTAGCTTTACGGTTTAGATCACTATAAGGCAGAGCATTCATGCACGAGGATTATGTGATCTAGGAGCCAATATCAACTTGAGGTTAACTTCTTTGTACAAAAAGCTGGGGTTGGGTAGTCCTAAACCTACTACCATAATCTTGCAATTAGCTGATAGATATGTTGCTATGATTTAGGGTGTTGTAGAGGATATGTTAGTGCAAGTGGGATTGTTGATATTCGCAGTAGACTTTGTTGTCCTGAATTTTGACCCAGATCCTGAGGTCCCATTCATATTAGGAAGACCTTTCTTGGCTGGCCAGTAATACTATTGTTTCCTTAATGGTTATTCAGGGTACAATCAGATTGTTATTGCACCAGAGGATCAGGATAAGACTACATTCACTTGTCCGTATGGCACGTATGCGTTCAAGCGCATGCCTTTCAGTTTGTGCAATGCCCTAGCCACATTTCAGAGATGCATGATGGCAATCTTCCATGATATGGTGGAGAATTTTGTTGAAGTATTTTCTTGGTGTTTTATGAGTCCTTTGAACTTTGTTTGACTAATCTTGAAAGAGTTCTTGCTATGTGTGAAGAAACAAATCTGGTGCTAAACTGGGAGAAGTGTCACTTCCTAGTTCAAGAGGGAATTGTTTTGGGGCACAATATCTCCAAGAATGTGTTGGAAGTTGACAAAACTAAGGTGGAAGTTATTGAGAAGTTTCCACCCCCATGACAGTGAAGGGAGTTAGAAGTTTCCTAGGGCATGATGGGTTCTATAGGAGGTTCATCAAGGACTTCCCTAAGTCTGGAAGACCCATGTGCAACCTGTTAGAGAAAGATTTGAAATTTGTGTTTGATGAGAAGTGTTTGCAGACATTTGAGTTGCTAAAGAAAAACTTAATAGAAGCTACTATTATGATTGCTCCAAATTGGGAGCTTCCATTCGAGCTTATGTGTGATGCCAGTGACATAGCAGTTGGGGCAGTGCTTGGGAAGCAAAAAGATAAGATGTTTCATTACATCTACTATGCAAGCAAGATAATTGATGCAGCCCAATCAAATTATAATGTTACTGAGAAGGATATACTGGCATTAGTATTCGCGTTAGATAACTTCAGATCATACTTCGAGAAGGTATGAAATGCCATTGAGCAATATAGTGGAGGTGGAAATCTTTGATGTCTTGGGAATAGACTTCATGGGACCATTCCCATCGTCCCGTACTAATCAATACATCTTAGTCGTAGTGGACTACGTGTCAAAGTGGGTGGAGGTTGTTGCATTTCCATCCACTGATGCGAAAGTGGTTGTGAAGTTCATTCTAAAAAATATCTTAACCAAGTTCGAAACTCAAAGTCAAGCATATTCTCTAGAAGACGGTGAATGCCCAAAGAAAGGATTTGGCTAACAAGCTAGATGATGGATTGTGGGCATACCAGACTGCATAAAAGACACTGCTAGGGACTTCTCCTTATCGAATGGTGTTTGCGAAAGTGTATCACTTCCTAGCTGAATTAGTGCATAAAACATATTGGGCGATCAAGAAGTTGAATCTGGATGCTAAGTTAGCCGGAAGGAAGAGAATAACACAGCTGCATGAATTAGAGGAGTTGAGGCTTCAGGCTTATGAGAATGCTAAGCTATACAAAGAGAAGACCAAGAGTTGGAATGACAAGCATATTGTGACACGCACCTTTGAGCCTAGTCATCTAGTACTAATGTTTAACTCGATGTTGAAGTTGTTCCCCGAAACGCTTCTGTCTAAGTGGAGTGGTCCTTTTGAAGTTGTGAGAATGACCCAACATGGTGCTATGTAGTTAAGAAAGAAGGATAAGAGCTTTACTTTCCTTGTTAATGGTCAAAGGTTCAAGCGCTATTTTGGGAATGATGTGGATTGTGAGCTTGAAGAGCTCACATTGAATGATGAATGAGTCATGAGATAGATCGTGCCGCGATGTTAAATCAGGCGCTATACTGGAGGCAACCCGTGAACCTTTGTAATAATTAGGATTTATTTGATTTTGTTTTGTTATTTTAGTTCTTAGGAATTAGGTAAAACAAAAAAAAGAGTATAAATTTATAAGATACAAAAAGATGAGTCGTGCCACGACCAAAACTAAGGCGCTGGATGGGAGGCAACCCATCGTGTTTTGACTAACGAGTTTTGAGCATTAAATTTGCAAGAATCAAAAATTTTGGTCCAAGGCAGCTCCGTGAAGGAGCTACTTCACGGAGGGGGCATTCAATTTGCCTCACTTAGAATAAATTTTCAAAGTCGAGGCAGAACGGCCCGTGTACCTGGCACTTCGCGGAGGGGACCTTGAATTTCTATTCCGACGGTAAGTTACCTTTACATCAAAAAGAAGGTAGCTCCATGATGGAGCCGCATCGCGGAGTAGGAGCAAATTTTTTTTGCCTCACATGGAATTAATTTTCAAGAACAATGCAGAAGGGTTTGCGTCAACCCTGCGTCGTGCCCAAGTAAGGAAATTTTTCCATTTCATTCAATGAAATGGGTTCGACGTGTTTTGAATTAAAATACCCGACCCAAATCCTCTTTTAACACCTAATTCTCACGAAATCCCCCTTATTTCACCCCTCACCCCACGGTTTCCTCCCATTTCTTCCCCTTTATGTCGAATTCCTTTCTTCAGTTCGTATTGCGAGGCTAGTGATCCTTTTTCTCTTGCGCTTCTACTCAATTTCAACAGCGAAGGTAATCATGCCGGGCACTCAACGACCCGGCAAGGAAGTGGCCACATCGAGCCATAGGAAACGTGTCCGGAGTTGGAACGTTCCACCCACACCTGCAATTCCTAGGGGTCAAACTAGGCAATTTGGCGTGAGGTTGTCCCAAAGGAAGGCAAATCATGGTACAAAAAGCACACTGAGGCGTTATATTTTTCTAACTTTTGATTTGATGGGGATAGCCTGGCGCATGAATTTCCATAGATCCTGAGGAGGATTAGGGAGCTAGGGATGGAGTTCATCTTCACTTAGCCAGAAAAGTGCAACTTGCACATGGTCCAGATGTTTTACGCCAACTGGGCGCCTTGAAGTAAGATCCCACTATGTGACGGTAAGAGGAAGGAATGTGCCCATCACACCCACAGGTATAAATGATATATTAGGTACACCACAAGACGCTGACCCACTTGTGCTGACAAGGTTGATCATACACCCTCCATACCAGGCTATCCGACACACGCTGTGTGGTCCACAGTCCATGGCACAATGGACTAAACATAGCGGGAAGATATATCACGAATCTCTTCCCTACGCTCACATACTTTGGAAGACACACATTTGGTTGAAAGTTGTAATGAACTGTTTGCTACCAGGGCTCCACTACACAGACATTACTCGTGACAGGGTGTTCTTGGTATATTCCTTGATGACTGGCACGGATCTGAACATCGGAGCTCTTTTGAAATATGTTATGCGTAAGGCCCGGGTTCACAAAGTGCCCTGACACTAGGTTTTGCCCAACTCTCACAACTGATGAGCGCCATCAACGTGATCAGTTGATTACAGCCAAGATGTACTACTTAGAGATGTTGCGCCATCAGACTGGCTGCCGAGCTTCTACCAATATGTTGTTGGGCGAGGTCGAGAGGCGCTACCCTATGAATGACCATGCCAAGGCACTACTTGAAATTGGTCATGAATTTCGTGATCCAGTCAATAATGATATTCCGACCGATTAGGATGACACGCGTACTAGCTTAAATGTGGATTCCGACTCGGATGAGGAGATAGACCCCGCTCAAGCTGGTGATGAGGCCGACGGGGGTAATGCGATGGAGGACTTATCAGGGAGTGTTTTATCTTGCTTTTTAAACTATTCTGATATTTTGTAGAGCACTGGGGACAATTCTATTGTATAAGTGTTGGTTGAAAAACATATTTGGTTTGTATATATTTTTTTTTAATGTTGAACATTTTTAAAGTCTATTTTGTTTTTATTTGTTTTATTTTTGGTTCCTTGGAAGTTGTTTCTGGTTCTTTGCCCAAGGATAGTCCCTTTGAACCGTACAGAATACAAAAAGATTTTGTCTTTATAGGATTGAGTCAGTAGTCATTGTTGAGTCACATTGCCTAATGATAGATGGATGACGACTGTCTTAACGACAATTTCATCAATTTAGTCTTAGGATGGGTTGTGCTGAAGCCGAAATTTTAAAAGTAATATGTATGAAAAGCATGCGTGAAATTGATGTATGAATGCAGTGAATTCTTGTATATGATTTGAATGATGCAACTTAAGCTTAATTTGAACCTTGTGTATGATCTGATTGTGGTGCTGCGATTGATCCATTCTGAGTATTACTTGTGCCATGAGCGGTGAGTTTTTTTGTGATATCCATGAATTCATTTGAGTGTAGAACTTGCCCGACGTGTTATTGAAGCGAATTACAAGTGTCGTTGTGTTTAGAAGATGATAATAGGCCTTTTTTGAATTGTATGGAAATTTTAGCCTTTCAAAAATCATATCCCTAGTAGAGCCCAATTGAACCTTTTTAGCCTTGATTTTGTTCTAACCCACATAATGAAGCCGAATCCCTTTTTATTGATACCATTAGCTTTGATCCCAAATCCTTAATGCACTGTATTAGGAAGAAAAATGAAAACAACGGAAATAGTAAATAGGATGGAACTGTGTAGTTTGTTGGGGAATAGTGGAAAGAGGAGTTAATTGTATACCACATGAGAGTAAATCTAAGATTGGCCCGAGTCCTTCAGACATTGTGCACTTCTATTAAGGTTAAAAACCTCAGTTGAAGGTGGCTAACTTAGTGCTCATCTTAATGATGGCCTTGGCCCTTACAAGGGCATTGTGCACCTTAGCTCGAGAGAAATCTCTAAATAAAGGGTGGCTATTGTTGAGTGTTAAAAAAAATAATATAAAAAATAAAGGGGCGAGTGAGAAATAAAGGCATGGTTGGTAACACTAGTGGAAACTTATGAAATCTGGAGGCTGAAGAGAAAAAAAAAGTTGTGAATGCAAGACAAAAGTTGAATATGGTGCACTAGGGAGTATAAGTCATTAATTTTATCTAAATAAATCCCTCCTTACCTTAAGCCTATATTACAACCGGAACAAGCCCTAATTGATTTTGAGCATAACACGCTTTATTAATAGACATGTACATAATGTGCAAGCAAATGGTTCTCAATCCATACACGTTTGATGTTTTTGTTTAGTGAGAGTGTACCTTGTTTGAATAGTCCTTAAAGTATATTAAATTATCTGAGTTGAGTGTGTTATTCTTTGGAGTGAGAAACACTTGTTGTATGAGTAATAGGTGATATGTAATGGTGCGCATGTTGTTGAATACATTGGTTACTAAAAGTTGTCAAGTCAATTACAGGAGTCATGCATATTTCGAATGAAATCATGACGGTGTTAACTGGATACAGATCTTTGGAAGAATATAGCAGATGCACAAATACCATAGATTGAGTCTAGGTCCACGAGTAGTTAGTAAGTTATTCAAGGACGAACAAAACTCTAAGCATGGTGTAGTGATCTTAGGCATATTTATATGCCTAGAAATCTAATAATTCCCATATTTAAGCTAAGTTTGAATTCAATGTGTTTGTTTATAGTTTTATCGAGTCTTTTGGTCGTTTATGAGCGAACCAACATGATTAGTTGTTGAAGTGAACTTAATTAGAGAAACGAGCACTGAAATGGGCATCGGGAATAACAAAGGTACAAAAGAGAAAAGCACAAGATATAGAACAAGTTATATATGTGACCTCTCCACGTCGCGGAGAGGAAATGTTGATTTTGTGGGAGAGTCAGAATTGAACCAGAGTGGTCTGTGTCCTCTTTGCATCGCAGAGAGGAATTTTAATTTTGTTTGTGAAAGTTAGTTATGAGGCAGAGTGATCCATGTCAAGGCCGCATCACGGAGAAGAGACAAATTCACATAATGAAATCTGGAAAGCCTTCTGCGTCGCACCATCAGTAGCCAGATTTGGCCGTTTCGAGTTTAGTATAAATAGATTAATATTTTATTTTAATAATTATTCTTTTTCTGGGTTTTGAAGAACGACTACTTGGGAAAAGATTTTCACCAATTCTATGGTTCTTTCCTAAACTCTTTTCTTTTCGACCTCTTTATGTTTGTTGAACATTGCTTGATTGAATCGTGGATTATGAGTAGCTAAATACCCTAGTTCTAGGATTGTGGCTACATGATTATTGTAATCTATTCATTTTTCATGGAGTTAATGTCAATTATCCTATGAATCTTTCTTATGTTCTTGCTTTCCATATTTCTTGACTGATCAACAATAAAATAAATCTATTGTCCAAATTGAAATCGGCATAGGAATAAGAGGATAGAATGTGGGACATAAAGAGCATGGTTAATTCTTAATAACTATGGTTAATTTGTATCCAGGATAGGGATATACCTAGAAACCATGCTTGGGTCACTATACAGGAAGAAATTGTAATGCTTGGTACTTAATCCATCCTATCCTAGCTCAACGATGTAGTTAGGGTGTTATTTATCATACGTGATTAGAGGTCGGAAGACCATGATCATACATTTAACCCTGTGATTTATATATTCGATAGTTGATATAAACCCATCTAAATGATATTAATTGCAGAATTCCTGATAAAAGTTCTAGCCCTGGACTTTACCCAATCATTGTTTTTTAAACTAGTGAAATTGAATCGCTTTTGTTACATTTTGTTACAATCCTAGAATTATAAATGAAATCACTTTTGAAATCTTGATAACACTTGTGATTTGCTGAATGTTAGAGAAATTGAGTGATTCTAAGCGTAAGTCCCTGTTGGTATGAAACCCCACCTTTTATAAGAGCCACTTTAATACTTGAACGACCACGTGCACTTGCGTCTGCGATTTGGACGCAACAACTGACATAGACCATGTGAGCTTAACCATGG